GTATGGAGGCCTATCTCCCACCACCACTTCCCCTGCCAGTGGCGGACTCCCTCAGACATCGGTGCGTTGGTGGTTCTTTGTGTCCGAGGATGGGCGCCCAGGTACACACCGGCTCACTCCTTGGTGGCCGCTTATCGGGGCCTGGAGCCTGGGGCTCGCTCGGGCCAGTTCGGGGTGGGGTGCCCTCGGCCTCTCGGCCTGGGGCTCGGTCACTCTGGCACAGCTGGCTGCCGGCGGAGCTCACGGGCACATCACTGCAACCCCCCCTGGCTTCTGCTCCGCGGCTGCTGAGCGACCCCTCACCTGGGACTCTCCTCAGCTCTTTCTGGGACAGTGGCGCGGCTGCCCCTCTGTTGGTCTTCCTTGGTCTCTTGTGTTCTGGGGGCCTCTGGATGTCTGGAGTCTTGATCTCCTCCATACCTGCTTCATGCCCTGGAGGACGCGGCTGTGGCCCCCCCACACCCTCTAGCAGATCATTACATGAAGGAACCTTTTAAAAACAAGCGCGCTCATGCTCACAGGTGTACACACGGGTGCTCACACACACAAACTACACCCTTTTTGGCTCCTACCTCAAAGCACACTGTGTGCTGTCGATCTTACGTGCTGCACAATAATATTTAATATTTAGTATTTACTGTTATATTCACATAGATCATCATGATGTTGTTTATTGTATTGCTCTCCTTTTCTACTGCTTGTTTTCTTTTTTCTTTCTCAACAGGTGATCCAGGTGATCGATATATGTATTTTTTTCTGTCTGCTTATTTAGTTGGTTTTTGGTTTTTTGCCCTTTATCCCCGCCCCTCTTCTCCACTGTTTTTTTCCCCTTTTCCTTTCTCCCTTTTCTTTTCCTCATTCAAGTCTGTCCCGTATTTAGCAAGTGAAAATAAAAAATAAATAAAAAAAACAATAAAAGGTGAATCAAATAGACCATTACGGCAAGGCTGGGATGGTCAATTTGGTAAAGTAAATCCGTTGGGCATCTTTCTTCACCTTTAGACAATAATTCTGATAGCAAAAGAACCAAACGGGACAGGCAAAAAAAAAAAAAAGAAAAGAAAAAAGACCTGAAACACCTGATGAGCCCAGGAACATCACTGATGATGTATCCAGATTACACCACAGTGTATGTTAGAATAAACATCTTTTCTGTACCAATGACAGAATTATCTCTTCATTAACTCAAAAACAGCATGACCAGGGGTGCAGTCTGAGCCATGGCTGCTGCTTACCATGCTGTATGTTTCATCAGGGTTGTCTCTGAGTGACAGTGGAAGAGTCCAGAAAGGATTTGTCTCTTCATTGATGACGTGGCCTTTGGAGCATTTTGTTGTGTACGTCAGCTGACCCTCAAAAAGCTTTAACACAGAAATATCAGTTAGGAAACATTCTGGTTTCTCAATGTTATTTGAAGGGTGAGATTCTCACCTCAGAGACACGGGGGCTGACCTTACATAAAATCAGATCCAGGCAGTCAGCAGCATCACGCTGCTGAGAAACTGAAAATTACATGTAAATGTTATTCAGCACAGCCACTATGTGACCTTTTCTTTGAGTTTACCTTTGATGTTTATGTTTTACCAACTGGTCATCTCACCATTATGGATCTCCAAAGTTTTTGTTATCTTTTCTGTTCCACATGTTCCTTTCTTCAGACGTTCAAAGATGTTTCTCAGCTCTTGGTCTATTTTCTGTGATTCTGGATCCAACCTTCAGGAAAACAGATATTTCTTAGTTAATATTGACTTTTTATGGTCCATTCACCATGTTGTTAATATTTTATCTAATTTCAAATACAGGCTTGTGACCAAGAACAATGTTATTCAGTCATTTGATTTCTTTCGTTTCTGACAAAATAATTCGAAATGAAACACTTTGACTGATTTGACACCCAATTAATAACTCAAGGGGCTTCCTAAATTTACATTTTTCTTTAAAGATATTAGGGGGTAAAATGCATATCCTAAAAAAAAGAAAAAAAAACTGCCTCTATTAAACCAAGAGTTGCATTCATGGGGACTGAAGTTGAAAACAAACAAAATCTAACTCTGTAAGACCTCTAGAGTCAACTCCTTATTTGTGACTGGGGTCAGAAGATCAAGTTTACATTTGCTGATAGCAGCACAACACACCAGACTGTCATAAAGAACTATCAGAACAAAAGTTGCACTCTAGGCTCAAAAGTTGATAAGCGAAGTAAACAAAAGCTTTTGGGATGTTTTTGTTTTTTTGTTTTTTTACTTAAAGTTATTTTTTTACTCCTTTTTATGAAAGAAAACCAAGTAATGACTGGGAGTCACTGTTTTGAGTTCAGAAAGTTTGCTGCTTTGCGAACTATTCGTAAAATAATGTAGATGAAGATGAAGCTTTCATACCAGTTATGTGATGAATGAACAGTCAACAACCCACAGCAGGGGACTGATCATACATTTGATTAACCATGCATTTGCCCCCATCATAATCACATTGTGACTACAATAACCTGATGAACCAATGGTTTTGCACAAGCTCCACTTCAATCACATGGCAGATAATAACTGCTTACTTTTCTCTAAGAATGGAGGAGGACCATAGTCTGCACTCCACCTCACTTCAAATAAAACGAGGTGGAGTGCAGGTGGGGAAAGATAGAAGAACCGATTCACCGCTAGATGAAACTTTTTTTTCACATCTCTTGTTTTCTTTCAGTATAGCAGCTGGTTGAGAGTAATATGATTCCTAAAAATAATTCTCAAACCAAAGAATATTTATTCTGTGTGACATTTTCTAAATATGAAGAAAGTTTAACATGACCAGAAATCTTGTAATAACATATCTGAGCTTATAAAACTCAGGGCCTGATGAATCAAAATAATTCTCAGTGGCATAAACGCTTCAATTTTGTTCACTTTCAGTTCAATTCGATTGTTGCTATGTGAGCAAGCACTTGGCGACAGTGGGAAATAAAATAATAAATAAAGGAGGATTGAGGATCACCTGATCCAGTCCTAACTACAAGCTATGACATAAAAGAAAGTTTTAAGCCTAATCTTAAAAGAAGAGATCGTGTCTGTCCCCTGAATCCAAACTGGAAGCTGGTTCCACATGAGGGGTATATTTGTTTGTTTATTTGTTTCTAATTAGCATCAGATGTGAAATGTAAGCAATCTAAAATCTCCCACCTGTCATGAATCTCAGGTGTCATGAAGAAAACTTGCATTATGCTGTTGAGATAACATGTGGCTCCTTGATTTTTCAGGCCATGAAATTTCTTCTGCTGGATTACTTTGGGGGGAAAAGAAAAAAAAATAGCATTTTTTTTTTATAAATGACTGTAGAAAAAATTACAAAAAATTTAAAGACCTCAGCCACAAAAATGATGCATATTTAAAGCATATATAAGGAATTAATTTGACAGTTTTTGACAGACCAATAGGTTTGTTGTATCTATTTATGAAAACTCTTATGTGACGTGAGATTGTGTGGGAAAATTCCAGTAGATCAGCAGTTTCTGAAATATTTCAAAGCATCAACGATTCAAAGTCACTTAAACTATTTTTCTTCCTGGTTTTGATGTTCATCTGGACGTCAGCAGGTCATCTTGACCATGTCTACATGCAGTGGGTTGGTGCCATGTGACTGGCTATTAGATGCCTTATAGAATAGTTGAACAGGTGTGCCTAATAAAGTGGTCTCTGAATGTATATTGTAGCCTGGGCCACATGGTTTAAAGATGTTTCTTTTCTGTGACAGTTACAGCTTTATAAATCGGCTTTATAAATCCTGTGTATGCGGTGCTTTAGTTTTATTTATTTACTTTTTGTCCAGCAAGTGTTCAGGATAAAAGACTTTAACTCACCTGCATCCTCTCTTAGTTTTTTCGTCTCTTCTGTGTTCACTTCTTCCAGGTTCCGTTTCCTGGAGCTGATCATCTTGAATTTCTCCTTGAGGATAAATTGTTTTGCTTTTTTTTAAATCTGAATTTATTTGTTAAAAATATCCAGCTCTTTGTTGCACCATCTCATATTCCATATTTTCACCCAGGAATAGTTTCGACTTTGAACTATCGGCTCACCTTCTTTTCTTGTTGTCTTGGTTTAAAAATAGATCCGCCGATGTCGCTGTTTGCTGCAAGTTCAGATTGAACTTTCTATTTAAGAACAGGCTCCATACAATGATTATTTTATATTTTAAAGAGAAGAAAGTCGAGATTCTATACTGCACGCGCCATGGGATTGTTGCGCACGCAGGCACAGGGGAGCAGCCTACTCATTCGTGTCAGCTTGAAATCCGCCCAGAGGGCACATGATGCACTGGAGAGTCTCCATGCAAAAGTCCAAGTGGTCATAAAATATTGGCAGACACTGTTTGATACACCTTAGCGTAATTTTTAAAACATTGTGATTTTGAATGCAGCTCGTCAGTGTTTACATTTCCATCAAATGGACTGAGTTCCTCTTCCTTTTTATGTTTAGATGAGACGAAATTTTTCGAGTTTACAACTATTATTATTATTATTATTATTATTACAGAATGAGTATAGATTGTGTATCCCATTTTTGTATTTTCATCATAACAACAACAAACGGAGCTCTTTACGAGCCTCGTTCTCGCGGTCTCATGAGGAAATTTAATTCACTTGGACCCGATCTGACACCCATGAAAGGTTGTTTTTTCCGACATGGGGAGGAGGGCAGAGTGGTGACCTTCGTGTGTCCACACACGCAAGTGAAAGAAGACATCCTTTGCATATAGGCAGACGGGAATGGATTAGTGTTATTTAGTGTGTTATTTTAAAAAAGAGAAAGAGAAAAGAGAAAAAAACAGGCTGAGGTAAATCTATGTGATTGGAGTGGAGCCTCTTTGACTGTTCACGAAAATTCGGTGATAAAATGTAACGTCCAACAACAAACACCCATGGATTTGTTTTCTCTGTTAAATTAAAATGATCCCTATTTGTTGCGTTGTAGAGAGAGACTCTGACTGGATCACTACGCGTCATACCGCGACCACATGACCAAGAAAACAACGTCGCGGGTTCGACCTGCGGGCAGCTGCTTCTGTTCTTTGAAAAATAAGAAAAGGTCACCGTCCGGATCTCTGTTTGGCAAGTCTTCATGTTAAAACTTTAGTCATCAGGTACACGTGAATGTTTTTGTTTGATGTGCTTTGTTCTAACAGATGATGGAAAGACGACTATTGCGGTTGTGTCTTGTGGGGCAAGAATTTCCTTGCGAGTATATTTGACAATTTTGGGAATCCTGACATCGTTGGATTTTGGCAGTTCCTCTCTTACTGGTAATTACCTCCGTTTTCATGTTTTGCATTAAATAATGGGAGTGTTGGGTACTATTGGCCATTTAGTTGTTTCGTCTGAAACAAAGTTCAGGGTTTTCGCTTTTAAGATCCGTCTGCGCATCGGGATAACTTTCATTTGGGAGCTATTTCCAAAGCAAGTCAAGACGTCGAAAGATGACGAAGATTATTCCGCGTCAAAGTGAGCAACATAGATTACTTTGATCTAATCGGAATTTGAGCAGCGATATATTGTCGAAACTCTTGAAATCCACGCGTCAGGCTTGACTTTTTCCACGCTCTCTTATGGCAGTATTATCAATAAACTCTAATGCTATAGACTCTAATGCGTGCGCACCAAGACACACATAGATGTGCATGAGCTCCTTTTGTCTTTCCTGTGTAATGTCTACTTGTACGCGTAGTGTTAGACAAAGCACCCAGCATAAAGGAAAAGGTGTAGTGAGAAAATAAAACATGGAATAAATACATGTTAATCATATGTGAATGCATGTAGAATATCTGGTATAGTGACAGTCCCTGATGGAGTGAAGTCCAAAGTGGATGAAATAAGAGAGAAAAAACTTTTTAGCGAGATCTCTGTTTGTTTTGTTGTAGATTATCTGAAGGCGGCGCTGAGTCAGGATGGGTTTAAAACTGTCCAAAAAGAAAAATATTTCTCATCAGAGGAGCAGAACTCCCTCTCAAGACTCCAGAAGCAGTTTGACATATGAGGAGGAGAAGTGCTACGACCCATCCGACTCTACACTTACATTTGTGGATGGAGATGATGAGTTGGACTGTAAGTCTTCAGACAATGAATTCTACCTTTACTGGGCTACAGATAATGTTGAGTAGAGTGGATAACAGTAATAAGATTTTTCATGTGTCACTCATAGTCTTGTATGAGGACTTCAAGTCTCTGAGAGCGCTGATGTCTTGCGGCCATGCCGTCACTCCCATGTCTCTCACCAACTGGTGTCTTAGCTTATTGAATCAGGTAGGATATTACACGTTCATCTAATCACAAACCCCAAATAAATTAACAGTGATTTTTGAACTGAGTGTATATTACTATGCACTCAGTTGCATAACTACTGAGTTGCAGTCACAAAATAAGGCACCAATTCAACATTACAGGACTATAAGGCAGAACTGACAACTCTCATGATGTCAAGAACGTTTGTATGTTGTTTTACCAGATAGAGCAGAAACGCACTATATAAGTTTTATAGGAGTTTAAGTAATGGGTCATCAGCGCAGGAATTAATTAATGGGGGTTTTCTTAGTCTGGTAGTTCTCAAGCTTTCTTTCTGGATTGCTACTTCAGAATCCAAAAATAAATAAATAAAGCATTCACATTAGTATGGTAGGAATGGAATCTAATAGGCATGAGACTGGACTGTGGCTCAGTTAATGGATCTATATACTATTGTGAGCAGTTGCTATTTGTTCCACATGTTTTGCTTTCACTGATTGATATATATTTTTGTATATTGTGTTTCAGGGCGAGAGCAGGTTTGTGTGCGGCCAAACTGAATGTCATGCTGAGTGGTCCTTTGAGGAGGTTTGTAAAATGGCTCTTCTAACCCCGGAAGAAATCGAGTACTTTGAAAAGAAAATGTTCAGCAACTCTAAGGATGTTTTTGATGTTAAATCAGTAAGTTTATTTACATAGTCTGCATTTCTGCGCCATATTTGTCCAAATGTTGAGCATTAAATAAATAATCGTTTTTTATTAACAGTGTCCTGGCTGCAAGTCTTCAGTGCTGAGAACTGACTTCAGTAATCTGTGTACTGAATGTACAGTGTGCACAGCTGATCTAAATCGGACCTTTACGTTCTGTTGGCAGTGTTTGAGGGAATGGAAAGGTCCGTCCCCACGTTCAAACCGATGTGAAAATCATGGCTGCAACAATAAGTCCTTAGAAACTCTGAGAAAATGTCCAGATATTACCTTCCAGAATGTGGAGGGCATCACTGGCTGTCCCTCTATCCGTGCCTGTCCCACATGTGGCTTCCTAGTGGAACATAACACAACTGGGTGTAAAAACATCTTCTGTACACGTTGTAAGCTGCAGTTCTGCTTTGTTTGCCTCAAAATGAAAGAGGAATGTTTGGAGACGAGTGAATATTACAAACCTTGTTCCAGTGGTGTAGCACCTAGACAGACTTCTATACCAGTGTGTCAGTGGGATGATTACTAGATTGTTACAGAAATGTTGTTATTATGTGATTCACATAGAAAAACTATCAGCTCAGTAAGTTGGTAAAGCCTGATTTAAAATTTACCACTAAGCTACAGTTACCACAATCTAATGCAGCGGTCCCCAACCCCCGGGCCTCGGACTGGTACCGGTCCGTGAGTCGTTTGGTACCGGACCGCGAGAGTTGAGGCTCAGGTGTGAAATGTATAGTTTTCAGGGTTTTTATCGGTTTTCAGCGTTATTTTGTTTTTATCGTTTACTCGGTTTTCCTGGGTCTTTTCACGTGTGTTATGAATAAATCTTCTTTTTTTCGGTACCGGTACTAGTTTTATTTTGTTGTATTTATCCGCGACACCTTAAAGGCCGGTCCATGAAAATATTGTCGGGCATAAAGCGGTCCGTGGCGCAAAAAAGGTTGGAGACCGCTGATCTAATGCATGGACTTTCTGTGTCTCAAATACAGCAGTAAGTCAGATTAAGACCAGTAATCATCAAATTAATATATTAGCATTCTAGAATTAAGTGTTTTACTTCTATTATTTGAAAGAATTTCTTCATTTTCTAATACAGAATTCACTTTCTAATATTTAATGAAAAAATTTCTACACCAGAAATCTGAAGAATGTGCACCAGACTTTTAAAGACTTTTAAAATAACTTTTTGGATAATTTCTCACTTTTTAAATTTTCCTTGTACCCTAGGAATCCCCTTTTCTCCTCACGTGTCAAACAAGATTGTTAACTGCAGTAAACTTTAACAATAATAAATAAATCGTGCGTCTTTTTAAAAGAAAAAATTTGTCCTAAAACATGTGAATGAAAATTCATTTTATGCACATTACTTTTCAAGTAATTAATTACTTTTAGAATATTGTAACTCAGTTACTTTTTTGAAGAAGTAACTAGTAACTATAATTAATTACTTTTTCAAAGTAACTTGCCCAACACTGATTATAAGTATTGCCTCAGTAGAGCTGTCTTTCAGATCACATTCTTATCTTGGATCAGGCATTGGTTTCTGCCTTTTATGTTTTGAAGTCACCCAGTAACTGTCTGCTTTTAGCAGCGATCTGTTTCTGTAAATATTGTAACATCCAGATTCCTCTGTTGTAATCTGGAGTTTAAAGAAACAAGATAGCACAAACAAACATGGAAGAGTTTTATTGAAATGATCTCTCTAGCAAAAGTCCAGCTAAACATCTGATTTCTTAAAGTGTCTCAAAAATAAGATATGAAACGCATTATGCAGTGTGCTACAAACATGATGTATTTTATTATATGAAAAATAAAGACCAAAAAAGGGACAGCAGTAAGTACATAACAATAATATGATCATGTGAGTGCATATGAGATCACAATAAAGACTTCACAATAAATGATTTTGTCAGTGCAGAGTCTGTCGTGTTCCTTCATGCGGGTCGATCTCCTCCACCAGGCAGCATCAGCAGTGTGTGGATGACGGACATGTGCTTAATCCCATAAGACACCAGCAGGGCTTTGTCCTCCAGCGGCTTCGTCCTGAACACCACCCGCATTTCACCAACTGAGCAGAAGCAGAGAGAAGAGCTTTAAAGAGCTGGGCTTGCTTCAGGCCTTTTAGAGTAGATCAGCAAAGCTAATATTTGGATTGTTTAATGTATGTGATCTGATGAGTTAGTGATACTAGCAAAAGATGATTTGATTTGTATTTTTTCAAAGAAAGTTTCCACTTAGAAGACAATTTTCATTATTAAATCATTATATCTGCTGTAGACCACTAAAAGTCATGTTTGTGGTTATTGTGTGTGTTGTCTGATTGGCTGAAGACAACATAAATAGACACTGCACTTGCACTGCATTTAAATAGAGAGTTCTGTAAACAGAATCTGCTGTTCAATAAAAGTATGACATTTGCATTTCTATAAAAATGTAAAAGCAGACGATAAGGAAAGTCATGCTTACTTATCACCAGCGCTTTGGCGATTTTGCTTTTCAGCTCCATCACAGTGAGGGCCTTCATCTGGTCCATATTGTCACAAATATCGACTATCTTCTCCTCTCCCCTCGGTCCGTTTACTTTCAGCTGGACGGACATTTTAGCACTAAGAGCTGGATCTGTCTCCACTTCAATAAGACTTTTATCAAGGCTTTTAACTTCAACTATCTTGTCCGAGAGACAAAATCCCAGAAGTCGCCGCCCATTTGGGTATTCAGGTAAACAACTTCCTCCTGTGGAGTGCTTCGGCACACTGTAAGTGACGAGTCAGTTCTAACTATGGGCAAGATGTGGGTCAGCAAGCAAGGTGTTCCCAACTCCCAAATAAATGTGAAAAAATATTTTATGTTTTTCGTCAGCCAGTAGAAAAAGCAACACAAGCACAGTTTCTAATGTGTGATTAGGATATGGATGCTGTATACTTCAATGGTTTATTGGTTTAATAATGAAGCCAGGTCATCAGCAGATTTCTGAGTCATATCTCTGGCATCAAGTCTGTTTTGGACCTGGTCATGCGCCAGTTTTTGGTTGAGATAAGTTTTGGGAATTATAAGTAAACATTAACTTCTTTTTTTTTTTACTTTCTGTTGCTTTCCACCAGTTGCAATAATGGAAGGCTGAATTGTTTTATTTAGGTTATCAGTGCTGCTCACAGATTTATTGCTTTATTTTGAAAATATGTGTTTTTATTGCACTACCTTTGGAACTTATGTTATGAGGTGTTTGTGCTGAGATGCTGTGTTACACTTTCTTGAAACATGGAGCTGTGTGTTACAGTCAAACATTTGCACTTTTGTCTCACCTGTTGAAAGGTTGTTGTTCCAGAAGACTTGTTCAGATACAACTTTACAAACATATGCTGTGCTGCCAGGTTCTTCTTAAAGAGACACGAGTTTCCCCTGAAAGCCCCTCTAAACATGAGGCCAGATTAGGCTCTCAGCCCTTATCTTCCCTGCTTAGCTTCTTATGTCCTTGTCTTGTCTTGTGTTTTTACTTACTTTTCCCTGGAACACTCTCACAGTCTGTTCTCTAAAACCTAAAAGAGGAATTATGGATTTGATCAACTGGTCTCTGAATGCAATTGACACCCCTTCTCAACGAGAAGTTTGGGCTCGGGTGAGCCTGAGTGCTGAAGATATCTA